AATATTTCTATTATTATCATTTATAATGCTAACTTCATCATAGGGTACCAATTAAGGGCGTTGTAGGGGTGCTTAATACCTTCCCTACAAGTAACCGACCCCCGAACCCAATTCTGGTAACGGGGACGGGGATGGGGATAAAAATCACATACCCGACCGGTACGGGTACGGGTACGGGGACGGGGATGGATTTGGCTCGCGGGGACGGGGACGGGTATCATGAAACCCGTACCCGCCCCGCCCCGTTGCCATCCCTACCCACAAGCACTACTCGAATTACTCTAAACTACTTAATAAAAAGGCCAATTACAACCCAAAAAGAAAAGAAAACAAAGGCCAAAAATACAAGTGGCCGCAAATTGCACAATGAAGAAATTTAAAGAAACTTTGGTCTTCTAGTCTCCAATTTGATTCCTTCACAATGAACAAACCAAGTGAGTCTTCTCCTTTGGTGTTTTCTCTCTTAGGTTTTTGTGAATTCCTCCAAAGCACTTTGGAAAAAAATTCGGACATCCCCTCTACTCAATCCACCAAGAATATGTGGTGTTTAGAAGTTTTTCTCACCTAGGTCAAGAAGAAACCAAACTAAGAGTACAAGAGGCCAAGGAATAAAAACTAAAAAGGCACAATTAAAACGGCTAAACTCAAGTGTAGATTGATGTGACAAACTTAAGAATAGAAAGAAGACACAAAACTAAAATTAAGGCACATTACACCAGTACAAAATCCCCTTTTTACGTCGGGTATTTTCAGCTTTTTACGTTAAAATCGCAGCCGACGTTAATACGGGAGACGTAAATTTACGTCGCCTATAAATAGACGATGTAAATTTATGTCGGTTCTTAGAGGCTTTCGTAACTTAGAGTAGAAGGGGCGTGCGGGAGTATGAGCCTTTCACAAAAACCTACGGGTCCTCCCCCCTATCCAGCCTGCCACTTCAGCACCTTGTGATCTTTGAGAAGATCATTACGAGCCCTTTCCTAGAATGTTTTTGTAGATTCCGAAAATTCCAGATCGAAGATGAAGATTTTATGACGCAGTGCGGGCACTAGATGGAATAGACAGAGAATAAATATAACAACCCTAATAGAGAACTAATTTACGTCGGACAGGTGTGGGTCCGACGTAAATTAGCAAATCTACGTCGGCTTGCATGTACGTCCGACGTAGAATTGCTAATTTACGTCAGACCCACACCTGTCCGACGTAAATTAGCTTTCATATATTTACCATTCTGCCACCGCGTTTTTATAACGTCGGTTGTTCCTCTTTCTGACGTAATTTAGGTGACGTAAAAGCATGTTTTTGCACTAGTGTTAAAGAAAGGCAAGCACTCAAAAGATAAAGTCCTAGAATGGCACTAGAATGGAATTTAATCAAATAGGTCTAAAATGAATAATGCACTTAATATGTTTGATTAAAGGTTTCATACAGCCATACAATATTTTGTTCAAAGGTCCAAGAATAACTCTATTGCTAAGGTAGGAAAATTTTGTCCCAAAGTCCACAAGTCTAGTAAAGGTTCCCTTTTTACTTGTTTTTAATTATTTTGTTCTTTTTGTGCTTGACTAAGCCTCGATTTTGATGTCAAGGTCCAGCCACTTTTTTTTTTTTGAATTTTTATACTAAAATCCTTCCTTTGCCCGGGTTTTACACTTGTGTCCAAAAATGGTTTAACAATAATTTTTGGAGTATCCTTTTAATATCTTGTGATGGCTTAATGAGACAACAACTTGAGTGATTTTTAAAACTTTTAATGTGAAAATGTCCAGCAGTGAAATGTGCACATAAAAATCACTCCCATGCTCAAATCATCAAACAATATATAGGCATATCAAGTGCACAGGGGAATACATAAAATGGCCAAAAATTTTAAGCAAGTATGTGCAAAGAAATTAATCACACGTGATATTTAAGTGATATAGAACATGCTAGAACTAATTAGCATGCATGATTTACTCTCTAAAGCACACTAGAGACTCACGACCATTTCATCAAACAAGTGGCATGCATGTCATTTTTTTTTATCATTTCAATGTTTAAGCATGAATACTTGGAATTCTTTCACGATGGGTTCAAAAGAGACAAGTTAATGACAAAACCGGATGGATTAAAAAGAAAAATCTATCATTTCATCAATGTTTCACATGCAGCCCAAAATTTCCAACAACTCATACTTAAAAAGAAAATGGTAGAAACTTAAGCAAAGAAGCCTAAAACACCAAGATCATTCACAAGAATGAATGTAGCGTGAACCAAGACATGAAAGAAGAAATATGGATCATGAAGATATGGCAAGATGATGATCCATTTTATCACAACATTTTAGACAATAAAGAAGACACAAAGACATGACCGGAATTGAAAATAGACTAGAAATTACCCTTGAAGAACTTTTGTCTCTAGATACCACATGATGGAAGAAGGATGATCAATGAGACGACTCCTAGACTCCACAAATCTTAATTCTTCAAAGGCCTAGCCTTGGATGGTGGTGGTGACCAAAAATGGAGGAAGGATAGAAGTTGTTTGATGGAATGCTTGAGAGGTATGCTAGGGTTTGGCTCACTCCAAGGTAGATGAAGGCCATTCCTAGGGCTTTTACTCAAGGTGGAGATAGGTAGGGTTCTTGGCCAAAAAAGACCAAGAGAGACTAAGGAAAATATAAAGGCACAAAAGGCTCACTCTATATTAATTTCCAAAGTATTTACAAGGAGGCTAGCCTAGGGTATTTATAGAAGGGAGGATGCATTTAGGGTTACATTTGAGAGTGCATGGCCAAGTAAAGCAATCCAAATGCACTTCAAATGAAACCTAAATTAACCCTAGATGCTACTTGGTGGCCAAGGATGGAATCTTTGGGTTTGGTTAAGCTACATCTAGGTGCATGATAAGACCATGCAACCTAGGTGCCCTCCACTGGGCCTAAGCCTTGCCAAGTCCAAAAATAAATCCAATGCCACCAAAAAACATGTATAGGCCTAGTTTCCAACCTTAATAAAATACCCTAGCTATAAAATAAAATCCTATAATCTAAGACACCCCATAATACAAGGGTAAAATGGGAAATACAAGTAAAAATAAATCCTATGACTAAGACACCCCAAAATACAAGGGTAAAATAGGAAATACAAGAAAAATAAATTATGTTTAAGGTACCCAAAATATAAGGGTAAAATAGGAAAGTAAAGACAAGGGAAAAATAGGAATAAATCCTATACTAATAAAAACTTAGGAGCTAAGGCCCAAAAGTAGTCTCACTCCTCTTATGGTTTTCAAAACTAACTCATTCCTCTTGCCTCCTTCAATATATCATCTCTTGATCTTCTTGGCCTTAGTGATGTTCCATCAGATACTCTGAGAGGTCAAGAGCCTATAGAGTGTTCAACAATAGAACTAAAATTGTTGAGGAAGCCATTCAAGTTAAATTTGATGAACACAAGCCTAATAAAGAAATATCATAGCTAGGAAATTTCTTTGAGAATATGCAGGTAAACAATGATCAGTTGAAAAAGCCTAAGTCTGAAGGAACAGCAACTCAACAAGACGAAAGAGAGGATAGAGAGCCAGTCAATCGCAACTAGCAGATGAAGGCTCATCATCTGCAAGAGCAAATCATTGGTGAGGCAAAGGATGTTGTAAGAACTAGAAGCTCGTTCAAAACGCAAGCACAAATTGCTCTTCTATCTTAGACAGAGCCAAAAACCATGGATGAAGCATTATCAGATGAAAGCTGAGTTTAGGCCATGCAAGAGGAATTGAGTCAATTCCAAAAGAATGATGATTAGAAACTTGTTCTAATGCCTAAGGACAGAACAATCATAGGAACAAAATGGGTATACAAAAACAAACTGGACGAATTAGGAAACGTGGTAAGGAACAAAGCAAGGTTAGTTTCAAAAAGGAACTCTCAGTAGGAAGGTATAGACTTTACTGAAACTTTTGCACCTGTTACTCGTGTAGAAGCCATTCGAATTTTACTTGCTTTTGCTGCATGTACTGGTATGAAACTATATCAGATGGATGTTGAAAGTGCATTTTTAAATGGAACAATTTCAGAAGAAGTTTATGCATGTCAACCCCCTAGTTTTCAAAATGAATTACTATCATCTTATGTTTTCAAACTAAATAAAGCCTTATATGGATTAAAACAGGCACCACGTGTGTGGTATGAAAAACTAAGCTCCTTTCTAATAAATAATAACTTTGTAAGAGGCAAGATTGACAACACCCTATTTAGAAAAATAATCAAGGATGATTTCATAATAGTCCAAATCTATGTTGATGACATAATTTTTGGTGCCACTAATGAAAATCTTTGCCAAGAATTTTCCAAGATAATGTAAGATGAACTTGAAATGAGCATGATGGGAGAATTGAAGTTCTTCTTAGGACTTCAAATCGTCCAGTCAGACGAAGGTGTTAAAATTCATCAAACAAAATACACCAAACAACTACTACAGAAGTTTAAGATGGAAGATACGAAACCAATGAAGACACCAATGCATCCTTCAACAACTCTTGGTCTAGATGAAAAATCACCAGATGTTGATAGCACAATGTATCGAGGAATGGTTGGTTCTCTTTTGTACCTAACAGCGTCGAGACCTGACATCATGTTCAGCGTCTACGTTTGTGCCAGGTTCCAAGTACGACCTAAGGAGGTACACTTGCAAGCAGTTAAAAGAATTTTAAGATATCTAAAAGGAACACCTAACTTAGGCATCAGCTTCTATAGAAGCCAAAACTTTTCTCTTCTAAGATATTGTGAAGCAGATTATGCAGGCGACAAATGGGAGAGAAAGAGCACTAGCGGAATGGTTTTATTATGCACCTAGTTGTAGCTTAATCAAGCCAGAGATTCCATCCTTGGCCATCAAAACAGGCGTGAAATTTAGGGTTACATATGGCTTGCGTTATTTTTTCATATCCTTCACATTTAGCATGGAAATTCATGCACAATTGTGACCTAGCCGTCACCATAAATGGGTCCATGACCTCACATCCTAATATATAAATACCCTAGTCCATGTTACATGTAACTACTTTGGATATATGATATAGAGTGAGCCTTTGAGCCTTTATATTTTCCTTAGTCTCCTTGGGTCATTTTCGGCCACAATCAATCATCTCTTCACCTTGAGTTACGAACCCTAGGAGTAGGCTTCATCTACCTTGGAGTGAGCCAAATCCTAGAGTACCTCTCAAGCATTCTATCAAACAGCTTCCTTCCATTCTCATTCTCATCCATCATCATTATCCAAGGCTAGAATGTAATGCCATGGAAATACCGAGCTATTTGATAGACATACTTTATGTATATATACGTATGTATGTATGTGTATGTTGTTTATATGGATTGGATTGGATTCTGGAGGTGTGGATTTGAAATGTACTTATCTTTGTACATGTTGTATAATTATGTGGTTTTGATTAGTTGTTTGAACATGGTAGTGATTTTGTAGTATGAGATGAGATACTGTTTTTTTGAGGTGTTTATATAGGCATGTGTATCATGAATGTGGTGAATGATGCATTGTACACCATTATACTGAATTGGTACTAAGAGGGAAGAAAACTGATCACTTTCCTTCTCATCTTAGTTAAGTGAAGTATTATGGCATACAACTCATTATTCCAAGCATATGTATCTGAAGATTATGTTTGTTTGTGTGTTGATATATGTTGCATATGATATGGTTGTGAGTTGTGAGTATTGCATAGAAAGGAATAAGATGGGCAGGATATTGAAGGATAGGAACATAAGATAAATCTGGTCTTTCTAAGTGAATTTGAGGTTGTTTTAGAGCCTAGGAAGTTGAAATATTGCAAGGAATAGGATATTTGAGGCGAATAGGTGCTAAGGGTGAAATTTGGAAATTTTGGAAAATGGCTATATATGGGGACATAGGACCGGAGGATTTCATTTGTCAAACAGAGACAGTTTCTAGAGAGAGGAAGTAGAGAGAGAAGCTCTGGTCCGGAGGGAAGATGAGGACTCATTTGAGAAGCTTATCAAGCCAACAATCCCCCCTAAAACAAGTATATTAGTTGAAATAGTTTCCTTTGCTAACTTATGCAATATATTATTTTAAACAACATGTAGTTTTTCTCATCATACCTTAAGGACCACCATTTGTTGGAAAAGAGCAACAAACTGTGGTGGCTCTTTGCCTTCAAATATGCGACCCTGCAAGAAACTACTGTAAATAATACACATTTTCCAAGCAACATCCTCAACTTGACATTGTATTATGATACCTGTAGAGGTTTACCCTTTAATGAGGTAGACATTGTATTGGTCAACCGAGTAGCTATTGCCTGGTCCTCTTGAAAAGGAAATTTAACCCAAGGTAAAAAGTATTCAAAAACAAACTTGTTCAATTCTACAAAGTGTCGAAGCAGTTTGAATTAAAAGTACTGATGAATGAATAATTATGATATAAATACTAGTTACTGATGCAATAATTTGTGGAATTGTGCATAATGGTTTTTGATAAGTTATATTTTCAGGTGAAATCCTACTACTAATATTGCAGGGGGGAATTGCTGAAAAGGAATCCTTTGTAAAAAGTATTTTCAGTTTAGTAATTACTAACCACTCACGTGGCTGATTAATAAGTTATTCCATTACCCACTCGTTGAACAAAGTTAATGGTTATTTGTCTAAGGTTTCAGATTCCAAAAAATATCCAATAAGGAAATTAGATAAAATAAATTATGTAAAGAATATATATTATGAAATCAATTGTACAGGTTTAGATTGCTTGATAATATGGCAGGTACTCTCATACTATTCTAGAAATGCTAAATAATAGAGTATAGTTTGACCTCATCATGTATCTAAAAATTAAGAGTGCCACCAATAAATAAAGCTAAGATAGTTTGAAGTTCTATCTCCATGAAGATTTATCATATATCCAGAATGTCAATCACAACCAAAAATTTGAACCAACAGTATGTCATTAAAAAACAATGTTTGCCTATAATTGGAAACTCTAGCTCAGTCCCAACAGAGTTGGCACTGAAAAGTGAATGTCAAATAGAAATTACAATGTTCACAAGATACCTAGATCTAAAATTAGAAGGACGTAAATTACCTCGTTGCTGTCTTTGCCAAACCAACAACACAAGAAGTAGTCTTCTTTCCTCTCACCAGAGTGGTATGTGTACAATACAATATAACAATCTCCACTAAAAAACTTACCAATTTCCTCCTTTGGCAACGCAATTTTGGCATTTTCATTAATTCTCCACACCTAAAATTATTAAAGAATATTACATGTTCATAGCTGTAAATTTGATCAAATTAAGGAAAGTAGGAAAGTTTATATAGTAAATTACAAATAATCCCACCTCTATCTTCCCACCTCCTTCTAGCAAAGGTGGAATTTCCTCATTTACAGGGGTACTTTTTGTCATTCCTTTGACACCCAGACCTTGTTGCTTAAGCAATGCTGACAGTACATCAAATAGTCCACTTGTCAGTATCGCTAGCTACACAAAATTAAATGGTAAGTCAAAGTACAAGAGAGAACAAATGATGTGTACCAGCAACTTTCCCCCTTCCTTCCACACCAATGAAAAAACTCTTCAAATTTGAAACGGGAAAATGGTATTATTTTAATTGGGTAACAGAACAGTAAGTACACTAAAACAAGTCTATTCCATTTCAATATTGGGTGCAAATTAGCAACGTTAAATTTGTGGGCAGCTTCCTTTATTCTTCCTTTATTTTGCCTTTATCAGTTTACGCACTCTGTATGTTCTAAGGTAATACATTAAATTTCTTAAGCAAAATGAGTTCCATTAATTTTTGAGGTATCCCAAATATGGAATTTGAGTTGCAAACCCTTTCAATTATCTTTCTTGAAGAATGGCTTCCAACAATAAAGACATATGCGCAATCAGGGAGAGTGAGACAGAAATACAAGCCAGGGAATTATCAAAGTATCAATTATATGGTAACCACCCTTACTTTTAGTACATGGAGACGCGCACCTAGGAAATATGGATGAAAGAGAACCTTCCCTAAGAGATTAACTCTAAGTTGCAAGAACGGTGTAGAAAAGTAGTTTCAGAAATGATAATAAAGCAAAAAATAAAAAATAAATAAATAAAGTGGGAGAGGTGTTTGGGAAAAGTACGATCTAAGAGAAGAGGAATGGTTTCGGAGGAGGGGAAGCCTTCCCTTGCGCGCATAGGACTTGAGAGCGGTGTTGATAATCGCGGCAACAAGCTCGTCCTTGTTAACAACGAAGCGAATGGGCCCGACTGCGGTAGAAGGCCTTTGTTGGCCTATCGATCGAAGAGGAGAAACTATTTTCTTTTTAACATAAAGAATGGGACGGACCAGAGGTGGCAGTTAGCAGCAGGAACAGGACCAACAACTAGGGTTGTTCACAGAGCAGTTGTCTTTCCCTCTCAAGCGGATGCCACTCAAACTTCGAATGTGATTTTTTGATAAAAGGGAGGCGCGCAGTAGTTTAAGCGGAAAAATATTTTATTTTAGACAAAAATGGGATTTAAGCGAGAAAATATTATTTAATTAGAAGAGGTTATAAACCTCCGTAAATTAAATAAAAAAATTGCAGTATTTTCACCTAATTTAATAACTTCGGGAGGTTTTTAAAACCTTCGCAAAATAACCTCTATTATATAACATTTTTTTGTAGTGTCTCTTCAAAACTAAAAGGCCTTGTCAAAGACCTGCATTGGTGTGTATTCAATTGTTGAAATTGAATTCCATCAAGTATTGGTCTATCTGTAATTGTTTCTTGAAACTTACTCTCAAAGAAATCCTTTGCCACTGTTTTCAATAGTTGTGGAACCTCACACCATTTTCCATTCACATCTAATTCTATAATTTTCATTTATTTGTAGTAAAAGGGACTCCTTTTTGTTTAACAAATCCCAAAGTTTTACATTGAGATTTCTCTTGCCTGAAACTTCCCTTTCATTTAAGCTGCGGGGTTCCACTATTGAGTCTAAGCTATTGATATTTCTTTTTACTTCCTCAATCTATGTGTGTATGTTTCCAAATGCTTGTTTGTTCCATTCTTTGATGCTTTTTTTCAAGTGTTTAAGCTTTTCTTTAAGTATGAATGCCCCCCAACTAGTTACTAAGAATTCTTTCCATTTTTCCTCAACAAAACCTAAGAATAAGGGGTCATCAAACCAGCAATTAAGGCTCCTAAAAGGTTTAGGTCTGAATCCAGCCTAATATCCTTTAGCAGAATTGGTCGATGATCTGACACATCCTTTTGAAGGGCTTTTTGTGAGCAATGAGGCCATTGGGTGAGCCACTCATGAGATACTAGGAATCTATCAATTCTAGTGGCTGTTATTCCATTTGGTCTAAACCAGGTGTATTTGCTTCCTCCTAGGGGGAGGTCAATCAATTCAACATCTTCTATGAATTGATTATAGTAGAGCATCTCCTTCTCCTCCCTACGGGTATGTACACCTTTCCTTTCTGACTTTAGCCTAACAGTATTAAAGTCCCCACATATACACCATCTCCCACTTCCATAACTGACTTTTATTTTTTGAATTTCTTCCCACAGGTTTTTCTTCCCTCTAAGATCACATGGTGAGTATATATTTACTATGAAACAGGGGATTTTATCATATCTCCATTCTCCTACAACCCCCAAGAACCCATCACCGGATAATGAAGTAATCATTGAGAATACTTGTTTTTTCCAACAGCTTAAGATTCCCCCTTATCTCCCCTGTGAAGGGAGGAAGCAGAACTTTATTTCCTCTTCTGCCCAAAATCCACTACAACACTCACTTGTTACTAACTCAACTTTTGTTTCTTGTATGCAAATAAAGTCTAAATTCTCACATTTAATGAGGGATCTAATGGCTGACTTTTTGGATCTTCCCCCAAGACCTCTAATATTATAGGAAAGGATTTTCATTTAAGAATTGAATTTGCCCTTTTCTTATTCTTGTTCATTACTTCCTTTTGGTCCCTCCATTCCATCTCAACCATTCTATTCACTATCCCATTTTCATTACCTTTATGTGTTACCCCAATCTGTTTACCTATTTCCTATAAGTCTCTAGCCTCATTTTCTATACTTTGATTCCTATCAGATTGGTTATTGTAGTTACATACTACCTTATAACAAATATGACAGAGAGAGGGGATGGGTATGTCACCTTACTATTAGGTTTTTCCTTTTTAATCACTACCTTTTTCCTCTCTTTTTTGTGAGTCCTTTACTCTTTTGTTTCTTATTTTTTGCTTTGTTTTTATTGTTCCATCCCCTTTGGTTATGCACCCAGAATGATGAATCTTGTTGATCATTTTCGCTTTCCAATCCTTCCCATAATTCATCAACATCATTTTTGGTTTGAGAAATATCAAACATTTTTTAAATTTGGCCCCCTATCCTAAAAACACCTTCACCAAACGGAGAATGGGGTTTGAAAGCTGGGGATGAAAAACCAGAGGGTGGGTCGGCGAGGGTGGCAGTGAATGTTGGTAGTGGATAACCCCATCAGGAGGTACATTCTGGTTGGATGGTTGAATATGTGAGGCGGAGAAATTGTAAATATTGGGTTCAGATGCAGATCTTGATAGAGTTGTATGACTTCCATTTGTATTCCTAACACCTGGAGAGTTAAGGTAAGACCGCTTATCCTTGCCCCTCCTCTCACACCCCTTGTCATTCCTCTCATCTACTCTCTAATTTTTTGCCTGCGTAGGGGTTACCTCACCTTTTCTTTGGATTTGTTGATATTCTGTAGACTTTCTTCTTGTGAAACTTTGTACCCTTTTTTCCAACAGTGCCTTATACTTATCAGTCTTTTTTCTTGTCTTATCATTAGTCAAATCCAAATCCACTTCCTATCCAGATTTTGAGTTTTGGAATTTCACCATCGGAGTGGATACCGACGAGTCTCCATCGGACATCTCATCCAAAGGAAGTGTGTTTAGGGAGGATTCTGAGACTGATTCCACCCATTCTTCCTCGCAGGGGCGTGAACACTCTTTTTTTTATCATAGCCACAGTGATTTTCTACACTCCGACAATGTCTCACACAGCTACTATGGATCAAACATCAACTTGAAGACTACGACATTTGCGAAAGTAGTATCCATGTACTCTACGATAACACTGCTGCTATTAACATTTCAAAAAATCTTGTTTTGCATTCTAGGACTAAGCATATAGAGATTAAGCATCATTTCATTATAGATCATGTGCAAAAAGGAACATTTGAGCTGAGTTATGTTAAGGCTGAAGAACAACTTACTGATATCTGCATCAAACCCCTTCAAGAAGATAGATATGTTTGGCTGAGAGATAGGCTAGGAATGGAATTAATAGATGATCACTAGAATGTAATACTCACCCTCTATTTATTTTTTCTAATTACAAAGGGGGGGAGAAAGAATAAAAGAAATCTATAAAACTAAACCAATCACATAGTAAGGGGGAGAGCATTAACTTAGGGGGAGGAACTTCAGGAAACGGAATGATTATAGTATCCCCTACATTACATGATATTATATTATGCTCTGTATCAGATATGAACTTGATAGATTAAATTTCTCATCATGAAAAAGGGGGAGATTGTTAAGTCATATGAAGTACATTCGCAATTCCCACCAAGTTTTTGAATATGACAAATATAATACATATTATTATTACTAACATCATTAGTGTTTCAGTCAGATAACGAAAAGTTCAAACAGTTGAATATGTTCAAGCATAATCTGGCGAGACAAAATATCAGATGATAGAAAGACCAGCATCAAGGCTAAGGTTAATTCAGGCTTAAATCAAATACAAAATCTATCAAGCCTGAGGCATCAAACGCAAATTGGCCGAGGCATCAACATGATGTGACCATCAAAAAGAACCAATATAAAAGATGAAGTTATCACTTCTACACTCAGACAAAAAGGGTCATCAAGATCAGACATAGTATCTTGTAACCAGACGATGTCGAGAATGCTGAAGCACATTTGAAGTCCGCTAATCACATTGAAAGGAATCATACAAGAAACACAAAAGGACATCATCGTGAATAAAAATTGGGCAAGCATGCATTCACAAGTCAAAGCCGAGTGCGTCAGAGAAAGGACACGTACTTTTTAGAAAAAGACAGCATCGCAGCGGCTAAACTGATGTGAAAAGTACAAATATACCTAGATCATGATTAGAGTCAGATATCTAAGAAATCAACTATATAGAAAAGCTCCACAAATACAAGCAAGCATTTAATGCAATATCGAATGCATTAAATGAGTAGATCTGCATAAATATGAATGAAGCCTCCATCTGCAACGAACACAAGCCTACGCTCTAACGAAAAAATTCAAATTAAAAGCAACAGGCAGATTTATCAGAAGGTGTATAAGTATCGAGGCAAAGAAGAAGAAGATAGAGAATAGAGAAGCTAAGAAAAACCTGCAATACGAAAAAGAAAATCAAGAACATAAACTATCCTTTTCTTCTCAAAGAAATCCCTGTATATCTATGTAAAAACTTGTAAAAACTAAGATAGCTTATCTTAGTGAGTGTTGCCAATAGTTCATCCTCTACAAGAGTAACCAAACACTCAGACACCTATCTTAGAAAAACTAAGGTTACGCACCTTAGTGAATGTAGAAATTATCCAATCCTCTCTGTGAGAGTAATACACACACTCAAAACCTACAACTGTTGTAAAGCCTGAAGAGGCTGGTAGAAAGA